AAAAACAAATACCTTAGGGAGAATAACTAGTGAGTCATGTTGGGAGATTCCTCTTTTGACCATGGGGTATTGTTATTGACCATTATACACCTATAAAACAATATCAACAGCAGCTTAATTAGATCATCAAGCGATAGATTATATTACCATCGACCTTATTATCAGCCATAAACAAATGGGGAAAATGCGTATGGGTAGAGCTCAACCCCCGTCAAACTCATTATTAAATTATAATTCAGACAACAAGCCATGACAGATGTCAGAGTTATGGGTACACGGGTCTAGATTACATACTTCGTATAGAGGGGGAGGACGAGATGGGAATGACTTTTGTGGCAATTGCAGTTTGCCATATGAATGAAAGTGGAAAAGTTCTGTAATTTGCATTCGCCGCTATTGTGCTTCTCGGCTGGTTATCCCATCCAATTGTCCAGAGTGTGTCAATGCTCTATAATTAGCAAACGAGCTAACAATTTCGCACTGTACTCCTATATCTGTCGATCGTCGAGTTAAGTATATAAGACTTTAACTTTACTCACCTGAGTAGCAATTTTAGAAAACAGCCAAAGCCGCGACAAGTGGCCACTTCACTTGTGTACGATATTGTCATTTTTCTCTCCTGTTTTTTATTTAACCTCCAACTTGGTTTGTTTGAAGTGCTCTTTTATAGCTGAGATTGTTGTGCCGACTGTCTTATCGCGACCCACACATCGCTGTTTGTCGAAAATGAAAGTTCCCCTCTTCACCTGAAACCAAATAAGATAGAACACGATTTTTTATAGTGCTCAAGGTTATGTAATAACAGAGGAAGTGCAAGCAATTACCCATAACAGTACCAGGAATCGTTGACTGAGCTTTTATAAATGCAATTTGAAATTCTAAAAATCGATTTTTTTCACAATTAGACATGCGACGAAGCTACCGAAGGAAACCTGCAGCGCGGAAAACAATTGAAATGCATTTAACATTTAACAGAAATGCAACAGCTCCGGGCTGATTATATTAATTGCAGCAATTTATATAGTCTATGGCACAAAAGCCTCGATGCATGTTCAGATATTTGTGTATATGTTCTTTATATATATGTATCTGAAAACGCTCTGAGTTGCAAAAACACTCAACTTTGCGTGTGGGCGATGTCAAAGTCATCGTTTGAGCATTTAGGCGGTCTCCATTTGATTTTGAGAGGTGTCTCTGGGGGTCAGCCTCCAACGATTAGATAACAATTAACCACACAAACAGACTCAAAGTTAAACTTCGATTGCCATTTAGGTACAACCTATTTTCGATTTCGGGGAACAACTAGGGGAAATACGTTATATAATGAGGCCAAGATGAGCTCATTGAGTTGGGTTTTCCTCATATAGAATTTTGTTTATCTCCCATGTAGTCTAATGAATTTCCGTCCCAAAAGAGAGACGACAAAAATTCGAGAACTTCTGCGAGCCGGTGAGCTAATAATCAGAAATCACACCACGATCTGGGCTCCGAGCTCAAATTATATTACCAAGACCGTTTCGACTATGTGCCATGTGATCCCGGCCTTTCTGGTGGGGAGAACATGACATCATGTATCGGTCTGTTTACTTTAGAGGGGTTCGCTAGGTATGCTGAGCTTAAAAATGATCGGTTTTAAAACACAGAAAAAAATAATCTTTCAAATATTTTCATAGCATATAAGTATTAGGTTATGTTTTAGTAATAATAGTAAAACATTATTATAAACAATAAAATTGTTGATATTTAATAAAATTTTGTAATGATCAATAATATTATGTCTTAGATGTTGGTAAATAAAAGTAAAATTAAAATAATTTTTAGATTGAATGTATAATTTCCTGTGTATGCTTGTATACCTAAATTTAGTTTGATTTATTTCAGACATGGTTGACAAAACTCATAAAAAAACAATGAAATGACGTAGTCCCCTGATTACTAGTTCGAATTTGATTAGGCAGTCAAGGTAACTCATCGCTTTTTAGGGTTTACAATGCTTTGTGATTGTTTTACTATTATTTAAAAAAGAATTTTGAAAGCCTGATGAATTATCACTCCCGTGTAATCCATTGGAGCTGAAATGGCAAATGTCTGAGAGCGTCTTAAATTCTGGGTAAACAAAAGAAAAAGCGATAAGAACGAGACTTTCGACTGGATATATAGTAGGTATAAAACAAATAAGCTAATTTATCGTATATGTGAATGATGTGTTCGAGTAAACAGAAGCAGACAAAGGAATAGTAGTATATGTTGGATAAATAAAAACGGGACGCTTTATGTTAGGGGCTTACTAAGCAAAAATACAATACAAAAAAATTTGTTTTTTATAGCCATGGGAAAATCCCCGGTATTTTTTATGTCGAATGCTAATATTTTGACCGCAGCTGTACAAATGAATTGCAATAAATACACTTAATCTCGTTAAAAACAACAAAGGAGGGTCGTTATTTATTGTTTCAAATCTTGGCATTCAGAGGGTAGTCTCCAAACCGAACCCTTTTCCATATTTCATCATCCAAAAGTGGCACTCGAAGTGATAAACAATCCAGTGTCATTTTCCTGATTTCTTTGTCTCATTCTGTTTATTAAGCAAACTTATCGATGTGTTGGCTTCGCGAGAGCTGACCTCTTCCCTTGCTTTTATATAATGCATTTCGCTTAGGGGACGCAATATTTGCGGATCAAACTTTCAACGTCAATATTGTTGACCTATAAAAACAAATATATCGGTCATATTTACAGAGACTTGTCGCCATTATCTCTTCCATTAGCATAATACTCAATATTCGTTACAATGATTCAAAGTTGACGACAACATTCGAATCCAAATGACCGAGGTTAATGACTTTTTCGGCGAACATTTGGCTGGCGACTTTCGAGAGTTGTCAGTGGGCCAGAAAGGCGCGTGGCTAAATTTAAATTATTGTCAACCGAGAGCTGCGCATTGCATTTTATTAAAATTCTTGGCATTACAGACATTTCGCGTAGGAAGAACTAGAAAAATAGGTAGGCGACGAGACAGTGGGAAGTAGTTAAAGTAGGTGATACAACCCTTAAGTAAATTTAAAGATATTGGGGATTCTGTAATAAGACTATAATTTTTGAGTGTAGAATTAGGAGGTATTTCTTTAAAAAAGTTTTTATATAATGGAAATTCATAAATATTTATTCTTGGCTTCTTTTACAATTTTATCCAAAGTAATAAACACTGTTTTTCTGAGAGATAGCTACAAAATATTAGTAATATTTGCTTAAATATGTTTTTTTGTTTTTAATAATTTTTTTTGCTGAGCTTGAAGGTCAACTTTTAAAGTTATTACATATTCACATTTGATTTATGATTTTTTTCGCTTAGCAATTGTGTTATCTGCGGTGAAGTTTATTAATAGCTTCCTTTTGGTCGCCCAAGTAATTTGCGTAGAGACTGCAGTTGCAAAACCAAAGTGGATGAGTCACGAGAAAACAATACATATATCATATCCATAGTATATGTAAATGCCATATACTTAAGGGCATTTTAGATTTGATTTTCACATTTTGAGGTTGTCCAATTTCGGGACTGGCAATCGATTTAAAAATTCGCTCGTCACGCGTTTGAAACCGATTTTAGTTGTTATTCCTGGCGGTGCACTATTATTAAATCGCTCCATGGTCACTTACACTTACATTTGTTGTTGTTTCTGCTGTGATTCCACGGCACGCAAGCGGCGGCAAACAACAATAAAGTTAACAAATTGGCAGGTAGCAAAAATAAAAATAAAAGGTAGCAAAAGGGCTCGAAACTAACACTATGTTGTTGTGGGTATGGGTTTTATGTACGGCGAGTATTTTCTTCACTTGGCCTTTATGCTTCACTATTTTACGACGAACTTCTTACACAAACACAGGCACAGGCACAAAAGCGGGCACAAACACATGGACAAAGACAGAGGCGGCCATTCAACAAAATATCGCGTTCTTAAGATTTTCCGGACCCCTTTTCTCTGTTCTTTTTGGCTACTTCCGCGCTCAATGGCCGCCAAATTGAAACTGAGACCACTGCCATGCGAAAATCATGCACTCAGCTCGGCGTACAGCTGTGCTGAAAGCGAGTGCGAAAATGTGAGAAATCGGTGAGTCGAGGGAGCGGAAAGAGCGAGAAACTGGTTGTTTTGAGAGCCGGCAGAGAGCCGAAAGGCAGATAAGCCGAGCACAGGGCGGGATTCGAGATAAAAAGGGGTGGGCGCCGGAAATATGTGTTATGTCGGTAATACATATCGGAAATTAGCAACAACAAATTATGTTATGAAGAGATCTATACTAACAACTATTATCATATACTAAATTTATTTTAGAAATTCAATTTTACTTATAATATTATTAAATTTACCTTCAATTTACACGTGTGGGCGCCCTACCAACACCCCTGCACTCAAACCTCTCATGTACGTAACTTTCAAAAAATATTGCATACTTTCAGGCATGCCTGCTATAAGAGCTGCATTTTATTTCATAGAAAATGATATGAGTTTTTTCTACATTTGTATTTTATCAAAAAAAAAATTGTTTTAGAAAAAAATTGGGAGTTGGTTTTGTTCTAACTATAAAGCATGTTCTTGACAAACTAAGTTCGATTTTTAAAAGATAATGCATAATTATGTTAACATTTTTTCTGTGTTTACTGAAGTTTAACCAATATATAATCATAAAAACAAATAACTTGGAAGAAAATGCTATTTATTCCACAGTAAGTTACTTTTCTGTTATACAAAATTCCATATTCCATTTATATTTATGTTTTGTCAGATTGTTTTTATGTTTGCTGTAAGCTGATATCAAGTGAATCATTACAAATGAATCATGTGGGATCTGGATAATATGTAGGTTAGCTAATATTCATGGAAAAATAACTTTGCTATCAAGCTATGACTTAAAAATTATAAATGGAATGTTTATTAAAAGCCCAGAAAACTCACTCTCTGTGTTTTATATGCACTACCCAACCAAATATACAATACCAAGAATTGTCTTTTTAGTTTTTATTAAATTAAATGATTACACTTTAAATTAATTACAATTCGTACGTTTAACGCATTTGCCAAATGTTTGCTTTTTAACATTTCAGACTATATTATTGGTTTTATCATCTTTTAAATTAATTTTGTTGGCCTGCCTTCGTTTATTTTTACAAGTAGTTGAAACATTTCACTAATACACATTCGTTCGCACTTATGACAGACTAATGACTTATGGTTAAGTGGTTGAATTAAAATTAGGCAAAGAGAACTTTAGTACGTTTAGTTTAGTATTTTACAGCGGCATCGTCTCTCTACCATCGTTTTGGAGAAAATTTGGAAAACTTGTAGGGCGTTCATTTTCACTTAGTTATATACATTTGAGACTCAAGTTCGAAATGGAGAGATGGGAAGTACTTAGCTTAGCTTAAAGAACTACTGTTCATTATGGTCGCGTTCTTATCGATTGGGATCTGATCATATATTACTGGGCGGTCCCCGATGGGCGCGCTGTCCGTGTAACGTGGAATGTCTAGAGCCGGGACGCGAATGCACAATTGCATAATCGTTATCGTTATCGATTGGCATCGACCTTCGAAGTACGTTGGATAAGTTTGGATTTAATACAATACATTTCAAATTGCAGAAAGTGGGGGAGGGGTCAAAGAAAAATCTTCAAGACAGATTGGTTAGCAGCTCTTCGAAATTGACTGTTAGTTATTCGATTGTATTTCTTCTATGAAGGGGCTGATAGTTAGTTAAAGATATAGTTAGTTATTACCGGTAGACAGATGCAAATTACTATCGGTTAATTACGGTTGCAGTACTAGGCACGAAATGGTATTTCATTCTATGTTTTGGATTTTTCTGTTTTTGTGATCTGTTGTGTTGTAATTGTTGGTTGGTTTTTTTTTGGCTGTCCAGGAGATATATATATATACGATACATAGAGATACGCAGATACAAGATACTTTGTTGGCATGCTTTGTTTTGTGTGTGTGGCTCCACAGCAACCGGAAAATAAATTGCGAGAGCAGAGCAGATGCATTTTGAAGTGTAGAATAGAGGTGTGTTGTGTGTGTTTACTGTTTGTTGTTTGATTTTGTGGAGGCAGCTTAATATCTATCAGACCTATTTGAGTGTATCGTGGAGCCGCCGCTGGTATAGCCCTTGTGGGCATCCCTGCCGTGCAGCGAGTAACGGGATCCGTACTGGCTGCCATGCCAACTGCGGTAAGGATCGTACTCCTCGATGATCGATGGCTCCTTCTCGATAATCTGCAAGTGTGTGAGATTGGGTGAAAATTATTGGGAATAGAAAGGGTTCTTAAAGGATGCACAGAGAAGAATGTGTTCTGATCTCTAGACATATTTAGTTCTTGATCTAAGAAATATTGTTAAAGAAGTATGATACTCTACGACTTTAAGGAACTTAACATGTATCTTCTATTATATTCTAGTTCAAAGGTTATGATACGTATTATTATTAAAGTAGTATTGTATCCACAATTTTAAAGAACCTATCTTCTATAACATTCTGGTCTATAAATTATGAATTATTCCTTAGAAAAGCAATGTTTTGATTTGATATCATGACATCATGTTTATAATTTTTATTTTTCTCTGTGCAACGACAAATGTCAGATTTATTACCTCTGTATTAGCACAGCTGCAGCTCATGGCAGTGCACAGGAAGATGTTCATCAGCAGCATGATCAGGAAGAGTACGCCCAGGGTGATGGTCAGCCACAGCAGCCAACTGGGTCGTATGCCATCCTCGCAATTGCCCGAGATTACTGCTTAGATACAATAAAATAAATACCATAAATAACCCACACACACACAATTCAGCGATCAAAACTCACATCTAGCCTCGGCGGGATCGAGCACAAAGACCGTAGTCCCAGCCAAGCTGGAACCCTCCTCATTTGGCCCGAATTTCCGAGGTCCATTGGTGCCCTTGCCAAAACCAGCCAGGGCCACGTCGTTGCAGTCATCGATCTCCACACACCGACCATAGCACTGGATCACATCGCACTGCAGATGCACCTCGGAACCTGAAAGTATTGCCGAGAAAGTTAGAAACTGGGGGTTTGGGGTAAAAATTTCTGTGTCCTACCCTCGGGGAACTTAAACATAGAGGAGAGCACCGCCTCGGCAGCTCGGCCATCTGCTGTGGGTACAAAACGACTGATGATCTTGGAATCATAGGGGCAGCTATGGGGTAAAAAGAAATTATAAGTAAAAAAGATAGTAACATTGTGAAAAACATTGATTAAAAATAACTTTGGTTATAAGGTATTTTAAGATCATTATAAATGATCTCTGTTTTTATAAGGACTTTACTGTCTTTATCCAAAAAAATATTTACTTATATTATTTAGTTTAACTTTATAGTGTGGATATAATTTTCTGGCAATAGTTTCTTACCCGCTGTCGTCGGTGAGCTTTTGGGTCCTGTTCTTCTTGTCAAACGCGAAGCAGTTGCCCACACGCAGGCCATAGGTATCTATAGATGGTAAAACAAGAGCAGAGCGTTAAGTACCGTCTCTAAAATCTTAATAGGAGCCCCGGGGGCCTGGGACTACCCACCGTTTGGCTTGGAGAACTCGGCTCGAATTTTGTACTCATGGCCGTAGACCGTCTCACGCACTCGGTGATCATTCTCCAGGAACTTGAGCACAACATGGGCATTGTCATCGCTGGGGAGCAGTAAGAAATGGGTTTATAAAGGTCTATATTTATTGGCTGGTGGGTACTAACGGCTCTGTAATTACTCCGTGTGCCAAGGGCTAATTAAAAGCATAGCCAATAGACCCAAAAGCTTTGGGCGAAGCTGCAATTGCAAGTTCTGCAATTATGCAATCGTAATTGCAATTGCAATTGCAATTTACCTTTGCCGGTCATTGCGCTATAGACAGTTGCTTTTGTGGGCCAGATAGGTAGCGCTACTAAAATATGTGTGTGCACATGTCTAAAACTATTTGTTGTTCGCCTTGTACACCGGCTGGCACGATTTTAATGTTTGCGTTTACCACACAAATTCTGTTAACAATTTCTTTGCTTTTTTCCGGGCTTAACAGAGCGCAACGTTTTGGAAAACCGTTTTTAATGCCATTTTTATTTCCCATCCGAGGTTTTTGTATCAGCAGTGGGGATTTTTTTCTACCGAGAGAGACTTGCGTAAGTCGCAGTCGAGCAGAGTCATTGGCATTATGCAAATGAGCCGCAAGGCGAGAAGGTAAATTAAATTGTTTTTCGTTCACCTCAAGATGATTATCGGACCCCTTCTCGAGAGACGTTTACCGTTAATTGAACTGCTGCCCAGTAAGCACTATAAATTTGTTGATTATGCTGCCTTTTTGGGAATTATTCTCTCTATTTGTTCTTGATTTGGGGCCGCACAAAAGAGGTGATTGAGTGAAAGAATCAAAGTGTTTTGTGTGTTCTTGTGTGCTGCCCCAAAGCTCAATGGCCTTGAGTTCTAATTCCGCAAAAAAGGCAAGAATAGAAATTTCGAACAATGCCAAATGGTGAGTTAAGAGCAACACCTACATGCCTGCATCGGAATCGAAGACCCTCCATGGTCAGCACAATTTGCCATTTGATTTGGATTTTGATGTGAGCCGCCGCCGTCGAGTCTCTGGAAATTGGCCAGCACTTGGGACTGACGGAAGCTTGACCAAAACCAAAAAAAAAAAATTATAGCACACACGGAGCAAATTGGAGCCGAAACAGAACCTAAGTGCAATTGTCTAGACAGGTTAAGCATTTTGCCGACTTACCGCGCGAAGCCCGATTTGCCACAGGTAATCACATAAAACTTATCGTCCGCCAGTTCCAGAGTCTTGTGCACACGCACGGCCAGTTGGATGGAACGCTCCTCGGTGCGCTGCGGGGGATTAGGATTAGGGTAGGGGAGAGAGGATCATTTAATTGCCGGTTATTAAAAGTTTATGCCCATGACGTTAATGTTGATTGGTTGGAAAAGCCGAGTTAGGTCCCAATTTATGCTCAGCCTGCTCAGGCTTCGCCCATAAAACAGGAGCATATATGTTCGGCACTCGCAAAAATGCAATTCTAATACTTAGAACACCGTTTTTATTAAAAAATATAGTTATACGATTGAACCCTTTTCAACATTAAAAAAAATGAAATTTTTAGATTTGGAACATTCCCTGAACTTTAATATAATCTTCAACTTAGACTTTGTCCTTCAATACTAACGTTCCTATTAAATTACTGCAGCAGTTTTCATAAATTTGTTTTTTATAAACTAACTGATTATGAAAATATTATAAAAAATAAGTATTTATATACTCGTATAAAAAATAGAAAACATGTAAGTGCAAATTTCGGAAATTAACAATATTTATTCATCCCAAAAAAAAGGACTTAAAATTGATATCTTCATAAAATTTTTAACTATGAAAATATGTAAGCGTGATGCTAAGACCTAAAAACCTATTTATTTAAGAAGCAGTACTTTACAGTACTTGCTTAAGTTGTCTCTTTTATTTTTCAAAACTAGATCAATCTCTCCGATATTTCCCATCTGTTGATAATATTTATTTTATGACTCCTATGAAACCAAACTTTACCTTTTTTTCTTAGCCAACACCAAGCATATGTCTTCTATTTAGCGGCCTTTTACTAATTTCTTCCACTGTACTAGTAAGTGGCTGCCCCGCGACCATGGCTGCAACTTGCACTTGTGGCATGTTAATTGTCACATGATGCAATCGCACAACGAGGAAATGCAAAATGCCGCCAAGTGTGACGCATTTTCCAGTTGCTTATTTTCTCCTTAGCGTTTTTCCCCCGGCTATGATTGCCCTCTGTTGGTTTTGCTTAAAAATGCTCATGATCATGCTCCCATGCTGATGGGCTATCATGGATTTCGGTAATTATTTTAGAATAATTTTGAATATCATCTGCAGCTGGCTTGTGCAGCGGTATGTGACTGCAAAATCTGCAGATGGGCAACTGTTCCAAGAATCTCTGCGCTCGGCTGGCCAAGATTTTCCGCGGTAATTGCTCTCTAACTGTAGCCCAAGGCTTGACTGAGTTATTTTATAATGTTTAGTTTTTTCCCCGATAATATAAATCGGCCTTGACCCGCAACAGCTTTCCATATAAAAAGATGTACGAATAAAAAAAGTACAAGTTTCTTTGTCACTTCTGAGTGGCTTACATTGCTTATCCAGCAGCTGGCTGTCAAACCAGTTTGCATTTGCCCAGTAAATAAGTGTCAATGGGTGAGTAAATAAATAAATATTTTTCTTATATATTACATTAATGGTTTAATCGCACGCCTCCGCTGTTCAGGGTATTAAAGCGTTGATGAATGAATGCTTGGCTAGAGATTAGAGTTTGGTCAGTGGCTGGTTAAAGCGGTTAGCAAATAAACACAACATATTGCCGGAGTCAGAAATAAATACCTTGAATGGGCGGAGGAGCTCTCCATTGGCGTGGAACACCGTGATGTCACAATCCGTTGGCCAACTCATGCATCACGCAGTTGCATGCCACAGCGGATGAGCTCATTATCAGGTTATTATCAACAGCCAAAGAAAATGGCAAAGTTGATTCCCCCCCCTATGTATATATAGTATGAGCGACTCCCATTAACCGTCTAAGTGTCTAAATGTGTTTAAATTGCCCGTTGGCAAATTATCTTGGGGCCTCTCAGCCTACAGTCTTTGCTTATTGCATTCTCAATTAACATTTAAATGTATATAATGGGTGCTAGACCAAGAACCACTGCTCCATAGCCATCATCAAATAATGGCAAACCATCTCGCCAAAGGGGCAACCCACTCGCGCAGCAGCGAAAATAGAAAAAATAATAACAATAATAGTGGCCGTAATAAGAAATAAGTTCAAGTACGCCAGGCCGCAATGCCGTCTTGAACTTTATGTAAAAATTGCTGGGCGTCTTGGCCATTGTCAGCGCCAATTTCATGCTCTGCCAGCTGCTCTGAAGCAGATTTAAAGATATAACAAGGAAGAACGCTATAGTCGAGTACCTCGACTATCAGATACCCGTTACTCAAAGGGAAATGGAGATATGCAAGCAGCAAAGCGAAATTAAAATGCGCCACCTACCGGCGGTAGACAGACTTAAGCGTTATGGGCGTTAGAGTGGGCGTGGCAAAATTATTATTATTATATTTTGGATCAATCGATAGGTATTGACGACACCAATACATTTCAGTTAAAATTTGTTATCTAGCATGCAAATTGTGGGCGTCACAGGTTTTCGCGGTTTGTGGGCGTTTAAGTGGGCGTGGCAAACTTTTTTTTAGGTCAATCGATAGGTATTGATGAGAACAATACATTTCAGTTAAAATTTTCTATCTAGCATCAAAACTGTAGGAGTTACAGTTTTGGGCGGTTTGTGGGCGTTAGAGTGGGCGTGGCAGTCTACTGAAACAAACTTGCGCTGCGTAAGAAGCTCAGGAATCTGTACGCCAAATCTCAATAGCCTAGCTCTCATAGTTTCCGAGATCTCAGCGTTCATCCGGACGGACAGACAGACGGACAGACGGACAGACGGACAGACGGACAGACGGTCAGACGGACAGACGGACAGACGGACAGACGGACAGACGGACATGGCTAGATCGACTCGGCTAGTGATCCTGATCAAGAATATATATACTTTATGGGGTCGGAAACGCTTCCTTCTGCCTGTTACATACTTTCCGACGAATCTAGTATACCCTTTTACTCTACGAGTAACGGGTATAACTAGGTTGGGGAGTGAAGATTGAGGAGACGAGGGCGAAAGTGCATTCGGAATTTTTTTTGCCAGCCAAGGTCAGGCTGAAAAGGCATCTCGCCTCGGCAATTAAAGTCGCTCGAAAAATATTTGCCAAGAAATAGAATCGAAATTGCGCCGCCGCCGCGCACAAAAAACATTCTTTTGACACAAATTCCACGCAGCCGGCACAACAATAGCAACATCAACGGATCCAACATCCAACATTCAACATCCACAACAGCGACTTGGAATGCTGTCAAAGTCGAAGCGTGGAAAGCCGTGTCTGGGCATGTGAAATCCGCGTCTGCAGTGGAAACTAGACGCCGGCGCAAGCTGCCGAGGCACTCCCTTTCAGAACAGACATTAAAGTACAGTGGAGAGTCGATTAAGCGAACTCATCAGCACTTCCCAAGGCCTTAAGACAGGGGGTAGCAATGAGCTTAATAAATACTTGATATTATATTTTTATTGCATGAACTTTAGGGATCTTCAGTTAGAAATAAATATATAAAAATCCATTTCGAAGACTGGAAGGCACTTAATAATATTATTTTGCACTAACCTACTGTTTCGTATAAGTTTTTAAAAAGAATTAAACAAATACTTATGACCCCAAAAATAAAATAATATTTAATAAAATATAATAAATATTTGTATATGCCAAATAATTACTCAAATGATCTTTAAATATAGATATTTAAGTTTTCAACACAAATATAGAAAATTATAATTTAAAATAAATTGTATATACATTTAAAAACCTAAAAGATTAAGTGATATTTAATTTATTTAGTTCACTAGGTAGCAAAGTTTTCTAAGTCCCATTCTTTTTTAAATAAGTTAACACCTCCATAGTTTACTGTACCACCTTATACATAAGCAGCGGATATATGCGTGTTTTGTGTACACGTAAAAATAAAATTCAAGCCGCAGTTGCGATAAGCGTGATTTAATTTTATGGGGGACCTCCCCTTTTTTTGTTCGCAGCCCGAAAGGAAGGTGGGCCTTGAATTGGCCCAGCAAATCTCCCCAGCATCGAATGCGGGGCTCTAGTTTTGCCTCAAGTGAGCAAAAAAAGGCGAAAACAAAATGGAATACAGGGTGCGGTCGTTGGGATTTGACATTGCAATTAATAATGTTGTATGTGCTTGTACTTATAAGCATCTGGCAGCCAGCCCTTTGGATATGGATAATTTGCATTTCAGCGCATTGCAGGGGAATCTGGCTTTGGGATGACTGGGGCTAATGCGATTTGCCTTTGTCTGGCAATTGTTCGAGTGCGTGTACGAGTGGAAAAGCCGGACCTGAGATCCAGACCCACACGGAATTGCAGTCGCCGCCTGTCAACGCCTGTGATGCACGTAGGATTAAACTTGATTTTTATTGCCATCGTTACTATATAGACTGGCTGTGGACCCAGCGTCTCTGCTGATTTGCGTTGATTTGGGGCCAAGACTCAAGTACACAGTCGATAGGCGGGCTCAAATTTATGCGCATGCGTGCCCTTTTTAGCCAGACAAGGTCCCAGACTTTGGCATCAGGTCTCTGTCTTTGTTTCTAGTGCCCAGTCTTTCAGTGAATCTACTGCCAGCAGTCTGCTGTCTCGGCTCGCCAGTTTTCCAGCTGCCCCACCGATTGCCTCACAGTTCACAGTTGGTGGCTTTTCTTTGGCTGACTGTCTGATTTTCGGCAGTAATTTGCAAATTATACGCGCTGGCTGACAAAATTCATTTGCCGTTTGACAAACGCAAGGTGGTAAACGAAAGACTTAGGACACGAACTTGCTGGCTGCGTGCGTAAGTGGGTTGCTTGGATTCTATTTCGATTGCTTTGTGAAGCAGTTGAGAAGACTTCTGTTATTTCTCAGCTAATTAAGTTCTCTAATTGTATGGTATTAGCAAAATAATGTTTGTAATTCTCTCATAGAACATTTTTGGCTTGTTCAGTAAAACATTTACAGTTTCTCAAGTTCTTTGACCCTATTTATACAGCCAAACTGATTTGAGTTGAGGATTTTCTTTTTTGCGATATTGTATAAATTTGTACCAAACTTTTAAGAGATATCTATGTTTGATCAGTAAGGTTAATCAAGTACATTCTTCTGAGTTCTTGTAGAATTCTAGTTCTATGGACAAAACTTGACTAGAGGACTTTAATCTTTTGATTTTTATATTCCGCCAAGGATATAGTATATATACTGAATAGTATATGTACTTTCGAGGGCTACCTTTAATTGAATTTAATTTTTTAAGATAGCTCGCCATTTCAACACAATTCCCCATTCCCAACATCAAGTTGTGCTTGGTTTTTAGTGATTAACTGGGTTAGGAAGCGGCGAGGGTTATGCTTACATTGCTTCCACTCACGTTGCTGACCAGGATGCCGCAGTAGTCGCTGGCGCCCTGCTTGGCCCACAGATTGAGGCTGAAGGCCACCTGGTCGCTGCCATCGCCCATGGCCATACAGCCGGGAGTTCGGTAATCCCGGACGTGGACGGCGCCCGTGTAGCCGGAACTCATCTTCACCTTGATGTTCATCGTGCCCGCCTTGCAAGTGGCCGTCACATGGGGGGCGAATTCGGATGGAGCTGCCGGCGGTTCCTGTGTGGTGACCTGCAATGAATACGAAATGCGTTGAGTATATGCCAACCATCTTCGGTTAATAACTTTGACCCGATTTCTGGACCCTGGGAACTAACGCGCCGGCGTGGACGGCAAATTAATGCCAACTCATTGGACAAACACCGGGAACACAGCAGCCAAAGAGGAAAATTCAAATTAATTTTAAATGTTAAGCCAAAGAGTCAGCCGTGGTCGCAATTAATTGCAAAAAAGGCAAAGGCAGCCGGAGATTGGCCAGAACTTTGGGCCAGAACAGCCAGCTGCCAAAGTTCTGCACGTTTTGGGTCAGTTTACAGCTTTCGGCCTTACAGCCAGCCAGGCGCACTGTCAAAGGCATTTGGCTCTAAGATAATTTATTGGCGTGCTCGACTTGGGCTGCTGTCGCTCCGTCGTGATAATTGAATTTGTGCTCCAGCTTTAGAGTCACAGAACGTTAGGGAATGGCCGTGGAAAGAATGGAGTGGGTACACAAGAAAAACTTGGGAGAAAAGACACAAAGTTCTTGGAAATTATTAAAAATATCTTGGGGGTAATGATTTCATTGGGTTCTAGGAAGGTTTAGTGAATTCGCACGACATTTTCTTAATTTCTTGATAATGACCTTATAAGACTTTCATAAGTTTCTACGAGATTTATTTTAAGAGGTTCTAGATCATATCTGCCTATCATAATCATAATTGTTATTAATCTTCTTAATTTGCGCCTATAAGTCAGTGTCTGACAAAATATTTTCCAATTGTTAGAAGCGGAAGCAGGCAAACGAAAGACTTAAGACACGAACTGGTTTGCCAATATGAAAACCAGTCTGTTTAAGTTGGCGAGCAAACACAAATAAGTTTTTTCCAGCAGCTCCTAGAACTTCAATTCTCTAAAAATAAAATCAAATATTTTTTCAAGTGCAGTTGATAGATAAGCCTTGCCAAAGTTAAGTAAGCCATGTCATGACAATCGCCCAGACGCCGCCTTTGTGGTCCAACTGGGCCGTTTCACGTTTCGCCGGCCCTCAGGCGCTGTCCAAACCAAGGGGATTCCCCTCGCAGCCTTTTCTCTGCTCCCTGTCTCTGTCCAAAAAGGCGAAAGGCCTTTGATTTATATTTACTTTCGAAAGAAGGCCCTTTGGCATGCTTCAGGAAAAATATGAAATTTTGTGCAGTCATCGAAGCAATTAATTTTCCACTCGATCCCGCGCCACAGCTACTGTGCGTCAGGTGAAATGCAGCCGGGTGACCCAGTTTGCAGCTCCAAAACGCTGACAGAGAGCAGCAGTCGGTGCCAAAAACATGTTGGCCAGTGTGCCACTTTCTATGGCAACTAGAACATCCACTTTGCATGCCATCAGCAATTTATTGTATCTCAATGCGCCGGCCACTTTAATCCGAAAAAAGAAAAAATCCCATAGAGACAATGACAATGGTGGATATGGATCCTCCGCCACCGATGGGGAGTTCAATGCGCTGCGAGGGTCACATGAGTGGGTCCCCAGAGCAACTCCGGCGAACTCCCATGACAATTTGTCGTTCGGCGAAAAGGCAATTGTTTTGCGTGGATTTTTGCATTTTTTTTATTTTCTTGCTGCAAGCGGCAGTCAATTAAAATAGCTTTTGCATGCTCGTTTCACTATCGTTGAGTGTCGAGTGTGGCGGCGGCTTGTTAAAATAGCTAACCAAATGTACAGCATTTGGCTTTTGTATTATGCAACACGCTCTGATTGTGGCTGGGGGAAAAATGGGGGGCGGAAAAATAAATGCAAACCCAAATACAATTAGACACTTGCGCTGCCAGTCACGCCATGGCCAATGAGGCAGTGAGCCGCGGCGTTTGGCTTGATGGATTTTCCCCGCAGGACACTACGGCCGAGTGATTTCTCACAAATTCCTTTTCCTTTCCAACCAACCAACCAACCCACCAACCAACCAGTCACATGCAAAATCGTATCGCAATATCGAAACGCAGCTGGAGCAGCAAAGACTCGCCCAGGATCATTAAGTGGAGCCCCAGATGGAGGTGATTTATATGGCTGCAAGGGGTCAAGCCATAAACCTAAAGTATTTAAGCCGCTTGGCTATTAAGCCAAGTGACGTGGGCAATTAGTACAGGAAGGCCAACTCGTTTCTTTCGTTCTTCTTTTTTTTTGTTTTCTGTATTATTATTTAGCCGGGGCAATTATCTGCTTAGGAATGACAAAACTGCAAGAGTTTAAGTGAAAAATGAGGTTCTGTCTGGGGCGGTGGTAAGACCGCCCTGGAAATGCCCTGCACGGCGGGAAAACATGGGAAATTGAGTTGGAGCCAAGCGATTTTTATGGATGTTCTCTCGTAAAACCGGAATGCCATTTATGGGTCTGCAGACAAATGGATGTTATTGATTTTATTTCTTTCAAAAGGGTAATAAAATGTTGGGTAGCAGACTCGCACAGAAGGAATGCTTTGTTTGCGGCTTTCGAGGGTGATTTTATATTTTTAGCTTTTACTTTAGATAGGTAGATTAAAGGTGCCAATATTATTAAAAACTTTTTTTTTAATTTTTGATATATTATATAACCTAAATCCTTTTTATAAGTTTGCATCTCATCAATATCTTCAAGCAAGTTGAAAGCTACTTAAAATAGTTTACTCTCACCTTATCTAGTTAGTTCTTTTTAAAATGACATAGGTTAAGATGTAAGTACCCTACCCATCACATTTTATTATTGAAAGGAAAATAGTCTAGCCAGGCGAAATTCCTTTAGATTCCCATGCTTATTTTGCGTCCTAAAACTTGATCACCTCTTTGGCTGGGCAATTAAATGTGATTGTGATTTATGTGCACGGCTAATTCCACTCAATTTACGTTGCCCGTTCGTCTGGGTGTGTTTTCCTAACTTAAATATTTCGCAAGAGTCAACTAGCTTTTTTTGTGTATTTTTTTCTATTGATTTCGGATTTTAGTCGAAGCGATACAATCGCTAGAGTCATAGCTGTAGCCATATCCCAAGTGCAGCTGCGCATAGTTGGCCAAAATAGATTGCCAAACATATTCCGATCGCTGGAAGTCGAAAAAAGACCACATAAAAACGACTTAGAAGCTGAAAAAACAAAACTCGTGCATAACAAAAGGTGGGGAGTTGCTTTTAACATACATATTTCGCGTGCATTTGAATTTCCGCTATGTGGCGCTCGGGCAATAAAGCTCGGCTCGAAGTAAATTATAACATAAAGCCCGGGCCAAGCCTTGCCAGCTCGGACTAAGCCGACTTTTCAGTTGGCCAAGAGTCCAGCGAATGCTGGCTGATTGCAAATTGTCACGGTATTTTCGCTGGCAGCGCATAAATTGCCGTTTAACTCGCATTACAGTGCCGCCAGATGGGAGCGTATGTATCTGGCTTTTTGGCCACATCTGAAGCTTCGTCTTTGGACCTGGCCGAAAAGCTTAATGAAGCTGACATCGCATCGCCGGTGAAAACCCGTTCCGAGCTTTGCCTGATTATATAATGCAAAACGGCCAGACGAGTGACAGCTGAAAGGGTTTTTCCAACGGTTTTATCTTTACGGTCGGTCAGGAGTTAGGGTTCACAGATAGATAAATAAATAAGCAAACAACCAACCAACCTTCCAGTAAGAAGGAAGAAAGGCCATGGGCAATTAATGTCGCTGCGGCTTCAATTAAATTTCAATTGCCGGCGCTCTTTTTATTTGAAGTTCTGACGCGCTAATTCCATGGCACGTCGATGGTCCCTCGGTCCCTCGGTCCCTCGGTGGTTACCTGTTGGCCCCACCTTTTTGGCCCTGTCAGCGGGTCTGCACGTTCTCCACCACTCGGTGGGTCAATTGTGTGCCTCATAATGAAACGCTGTCGTAGCACTAATATAATAATAAGCACTTGTTCGCCTCCCATTCCCTTCTTTATTCCCACAAAAATAAAAAATGCCTTTTGTTGTTAGCTGCTGAAAGACCATCAATAGCTTTGGTTAAATTCTTTAAAATATTGTTGTACAACATTCCAACGGTGTTCTGTGCCGCTCATTTGTGTTGCCTATTTATCGATGGTCCAAGGTATCCAGCAGATACATGTGTAGCTAACCCAGCAGTAGCCCGAACCTATGTCTTGTTTTAATGAGTTTTGCTTTGAGCAGCTGGGAAATTATGCTAAGTACTTTCTATTCTTCTGGCTTACAGGGGATGGGCTTGTTTTGAAAGTTTCTTTTAATTGAATTAGCCCTCTTTTTTAGGGCCAACAACAAAATTTTACCAAATGCAACAACCTCTCATTTTTCAACCAAAAAAGGTTCTGGGAATCTTTCGAGTGCATCTTTATATTTTTAAACGTTTCTTTTATTCATAATTTCTTAAGTGCAGTAAATAGCTACCATGACTTGTTAGGATTTTTAACAAAAAGTAGCCCTCATTTAACAGCCAAAAGTTCTAATCATCATATATTGCCTAATGCATTTGGCTCTTAATTTAATTACAGGTCTGAAAATAAGATGAATCATGTTTAATGTCTATACATTTAGGGTGGCCTTTATTTGAATATTTTTCTTTGGGCTTAACCTGGGCTAATTTGGTTAATAAGACCTTAACCTTTGATATGAAATTATATATAATTTTATGTTTTTAAAACTTTAAAGATTTATTTTTATCTTTTCAGGGCTAGAACCTCTTTCTATAAAACAGGCTAACTGCAGTGCATTAGCAGTCCCAATTTTCATTCCAAATTTCCAAAAAAAAAATATTACCATTTAGTCATCATTTGTTTGATTGAAACAAACGCTTATCGTGATTTTGCCTTCAAAGTTGTCACACTTTCTTTGACCATCGCCTTAATTGCTGTCCAAAAAGTTTGGCTGCACGAAAAAGCTATTTGGAAAAAGTCGTTCCGTTCCCAGCAGCCGAACTGGAAAAACTCAAAGAAAAACAGCCCTCGGTGTGTCGGCAATTTTCATAAATGTGCACTTTCCATGCGCATCATCTTGGACAGAATTTGAAAGCCAAGTCGGCCCCATACTGTGATGA